AACTTCGAGACAGACTATGAAAAACAACGAGGTAATATCAATATAAATAGGCTACTGTACTTCTTTATAATAATGACCCTTATGCAGCACAGAACTAAAAATAATAGATATCCAAGCATGTTCTCGTATCCACAACTTCGAGACAGACTAAGGGAAACAGCGGGGTAATATTCGAAAAATAGGCTTCGGTACCCTTTTGCAATGATGATCCATTTACAACACAGAATGAATAACCATACATTAATATCCAAGCATGCCCTCATATTCACAACTTCCAGATAGATTAAGGGAAATTAGTGGGTAATATAAGTATAAATAGGCTTCTGTACCTTTCTATATTAATGCCTCTTGTACAGAACAGAACTAAAAATTATTCATAGATATCCAAGCATGTTCTCATATCCACAACTTCGAGACAGACTATGAAAAACAACGAGGTAATATCAATATAAATAGGCTACTGTACTTCTTTATAATAATGACCCTTATACAGCACAGAACTAAAAATAATAGATATCCAAGCATGTTCTCATATCCACAACTTCGAGACAGACTAAGGGAAACAGCGGGGTAATATTCGAAAAATAGGCTTCGGTGCCCTTTTGCAATTGTGATCCATTTACAACACAGAATGAATAACCATACATTAATATCCAAGCATGTCCTCATATTCACAACTTCCAGATAGATTAAGGGAAATTAGTGGGTAATATAAGTATAAATAGGCTTCTGTACCTTTCTATATTGATGCCTCTTTTACAGAACAGAACTAAAAATTATTCACAGATATCCAAGCATGTTCTCATATCCACAACTTCGAGACAGACTAAGGGAAACAACGGGGTAATATCCGTATAAATAGGTTTCGGTACCCTTTACACCGCAGGAGGTAACAAAAGCTGCTTATTCACCACATAAAAACGAAACTCAAAGGGGTGGGTGCCGAAAAATATCGCAAACAACTCGTTAATAACTCTTTCTATTGTCATCAGCATCTTTTAAGCAAAGGATAAAGGGAGCAGATGTCATTTCTTAGTCTCACATTTCGCTTTATGACATATTGACATGGGTGGTAAAACGATGGGTTGCTCGTTTCGTGTTAAATAAAATAAATTGCCTGTTTTCTGGGCGTAAAAAGTCATACCTAGGTGATGAGAGTATAAAAAATAAATGTGAGAGGTGGGAGAAAGTTAGAAAATATTGCATTTTTTCGGAACTACTGCTATGTACTGTCTTGGGGGTAGAGGGAGGTATGTAGAGAAAAAAGATAAAAAAAAAGAATCAAAGATTAGGATAACACATTTTCAAGACTGATAACTACAGCTAATACGCATGACTGAGTATTCGACAAGTAGCCCATAAAAAAGAATTATGGCCAAAAGGTGACAGATAAAGTACTCAAGTAATATACCTGAGGGGGGGATTGCAGCAATTACTTGAATCAACAGGAGAGGCGTGTTTGATTTATAGACTTCAAAGTTGGGAATAATAGATATCGTAGAAATATTAATATTTTTCTTTAACCGCGAAACAAATCTCTTTAGTAAATTCTTCAATTTAAATTTTTGTTTTTACGAAAGTGCACTGGTGGTTTATTTTCCTTTTTCAATGAATTTTTTGAGTTATATTAGTTTATGTATTGACAGTAAACATTATCAGACATTTTGAAGATTTAAAAATATGTTTTATTGGGCATTGATGTAGCTGTTATGATTCATTAAGAAAAAGCACTGTCTTGGCTCTTTTAAAATTACAAGTTGCATCTGTCTGTTTCTTAGAGAATCGACTTATTCCTGACAATAACAACTAATAAAATCTTTATGGACTTACATCGAAAATTATATTGAAATTTATATTGAAATTAACTGCACGATTTAACAGATGATTCGAAGCTAAGATAATAACATCAAAATAAATTTCTTCAAATAACAGCCACCACTCTTAATTTTAAAACCATTTTTCTGATTTATCACGATTACACTGCAAATAATTACGAATAATAAAATTAATTCATTAAATGAAATATGAATGATAATGAGAGGGAAATTATTTATATTCATAAATAATAGTCAATCATAAAAGTAATTAGTTTAATAGATGTATTTAAATAATGTTTATTTTAATAGGTATTATATAGAATATTTTCTCAAAAAGTTTTTATCATAATTAAGAGGAATAAAATTAATTTATTCTCAAAGTGATTACTCTTCAAATAAAATTCAGAATTGCAAAAAAAAAAAAAGTTTTTTGTTTTTGTTTTGACACTGCTTTACTTAAGGTCGTAACATTACTATACACACTTTGGATTAACAAAATCAAATAATTCAATAACTTTTTTACTCTTTATTAAGTACAATTTCATCCGCAAAGACGTGAACTAGGGTAAGCTATTCAGATTTTTATATAACCTACTAAAGTATCTTAAATTACACAGTTAAAGTTGTCAAACTATATCTTGTTGGTGTTAGCAAAATTTTATATATCTTAATGTTAAGTCTCAGGAAAATTCAGGAGATGTAAAAGAGAGTTAAACATAAATAATTATTTGAATTTGGCAAATATTAATCCAAATTGATAAAATATATATGGTTAAATATATTGATATATAGTGAATGTTTCATACTAGGCATTTCAAAATTACTTCTTTATACTTTTGATAAAAATAATTTAAGTTTAAAAATCCGGCTACGTAATTGAAATACTGAAAGCATCACTACAACAATTGCAATTTAAAAATGAGAGACGGGGAATAATCATTAAAAAATGTGTGATTGTTAGTAATTAGACAGTTTAATACAGCTATTTCATTTAATTTTGGAAATATCATAGGAAACTGTACAGTTACTCGTATGGAAAACTCTATGTTCGATATTATCATTACATTTATCTCAGTTTTTCTGATACACGTATTAGAAATGTATAAATGGATTTAACTTGCTTCAATATTGGTTTGAGAAAAAGTAAAATAAACATTCAAGTTTATTTAAATTTTTAATCATTAGTTCAACTCTTGGCAGTGCAGCATTCCCATTTACTTACGATAATTATAAATTCTCATTAAGAGTGACCTTTAGATTTTAATGGACATAGAAGGTCACCTTCTTGCTCTGCATCAGCGATAATTGGCCATGACCTCCTAATTTAAGCTCTATCGATTGTACACAGACGCTTCTGTATAATGATGTGGACATCTTGTCCGGACAGAGAAGAGGAGGAATGGCAAACAACAATCTATTTTGATGATTGGTAACTATCTGTCTCATCATCCCTCCTCTCCCAGAATCGAACCCATTCCATTGTCATCCTTCCCAACCCCCAATCACCCCACATTCGACGTGACCTGCATTTTACTTTTCCTATTGGATTACATGGTGGTTACAATGCTTGGAACAAGGAATTACCATTCCGACCACCCCCAACCCCTTAAATCTTCATCTGCATTGATATTGGCAGGAATTATTGATGGCACTAGATAAAGGCAAGAAACAGAATGACACAATCCCTAGTCACGCGTACATGACACGTGTTACAGATGTCGTCTGGTTACTTACCAGAAGTCCAGACTTGAGTATCATCTAATTCCCTTTCTCGTTTGTTAAGGGTAAAAGGGGGTGGTCAATCTCATATTTTTGTCTCCTCAGTATCCACAGCTGTAAGAAAAAAAATTTCAGCAAAAAATGGGTTTTCTGGATTATTCTGCATAAGATTAATGTCAAAAGGAACGCCGGAATCGAGTGATTGAGGATACTCATTCAGGATAGCGCACTCATTTCAAGCAAAAAACTTATCACAAAAGAAGCCTAACAAAATATTTTAAAATCTAAATGCAGTTAATATTGTTAAATGAAAAAAAAATAATTTATATTAAACAGTATAGAACGTTATTCAAAGGACAGCAGAACTTATGAAAATTCTGAAATGAATTTAACTGAAGTTAAAATATGTTGTTCATTTCTAAAACCCCCATGTAAATTCTCCTTAATTATGAGTTTCTAACACCATTTTTTTTTCTTCATGCATTGGGAAGATTAAGGGCAACTTCTGAGTCTAAAAAATATCTAAATGAATCTAAAAATCGATTGATTTCTGTCCCGACGAGTTAGAATTACCCATGTGTGGCCCAACATTTTTACATACGTTCAACAAGTAGGATCCTCAAAAATCAATAGTGTGTGAGATAATGAGCATAATGTTCTATTAAATTTTTTCTTAAGAATTTGGATCTCTTGTCTACTGAGACTATCACGATCTATCTTCTATAATATTTGTGCCACTCTTTTTAAAAATCTATCTTAATTTGAAGTAACCAATGAATCTGCAGTATAGATGAATCTGCAGTAGGGAAATACCAGAGATACATTTTACACTGATAAAAAATAACTTCCTGTTAAATTATAAAGTGATTCATATTTTTCATAACCTTGGTAAAAGCAGTGTCTCAATTTGGTCGTTAACATGGTTTGCCTTGAAGAATTATATTTTATTTTATAACCCACGCTGAACAACCGATCAAATTTTGAGTTTACGACTATCAATATTCAACTCCGTCTCGTTGCAATTTTGAACATAATCTGGAAGATAAGGGAACAACTGGATGAAGCTTGGAGTAACTAGCCTTCATGGAGGACTTTTTGATGGAACAATCCCGCATTTGCCCTACGTGGCGCGAAAACCTCTCACGGTTAGCCTGAGAGCAAGGCGATTTTAACCAATGATCTGTCAATCACTACAGATATTTCACATCAACATTGTGACCAGTGAGTGCCGGGATCAGAATTCGTACCAACTAGCCAGCTTTGGAACTCGAACCAGGGTCATCTCATTAGAAGAGGACTGCTTTATCCCTTGAGCAGCCACTCTGAAGTACTATATTCAATATATATATTATGTGCAATCATTTGGTCTGGGAATTTTGCTAATGAGAGTTCATTATTCAAGTGTAATATTTGATGTAATCTGTGATTTATTCAGAGTTATTTTATAAGTATTTTCTTCCTCAGGTATTGGAAAAAATGATTCTTGAATTCTTGAAACAATATGGATTGGACTTTATTCCAATATCGTAAAGCAAAACAGCGAATCTACACACTTTATCATATTCATTGTTTGGTAAGTGGCTAAATTGTTTTCTTGAGTATCGAAGTGTAGAATATTTTTAATAGCTAATCAACTAATCTGCTAAGCAACAAATAGTGTTTCTCAATGTACGATGCTTGTTAAAATAAATTTATTCAAATAGAGTGTTACCTCAAAAACGTTTCGTGGCAGGCCCCACGCAAAATATTTGCCACCTTGCCAACTGCAGTAAAATCGTAAATTTGGCGAATAAAATGGTGTTTTGGCGAAAGTATTGGTGAATGATTTAAAAAATACGTTAAAATAAACTTTACTAAACAAATCAGTAGTTTTTATTCTATTTCAGTAATTTTCGGATGATGAACCACATAACCAAATAGAATTGGGTTCAAGTAATTTAAGCTTGAAACAAATTACCGTAAAATAGTTTTCTATGGAAAAAAATTAACCATAAAAATTTTAACGATTTGCATTTGGCAAAGACTTTCGGAAATAGAATACTTTTAATAATTAGCTAATTAAAAAAAATAGGGATAGCAAATTTACAGATTGGATTTGTTTTTATTTAAGATACTATTTTAATCATTCCCCTAGCCATTTCATTGATGGAATAAGATTTGCATTTATATTTTATCAGACTGATAGGCCATGTATATTGTATATATAATATTTGAAGATAAATATATTTTATTTGAGGAAATTCATCTTCTTATTAGTGAAGGGCATTTTTAAAAAATTGAATACATTATATAAAAATGTATTCAAAGAAAATATATTTTTGTAATCAAAATTATTCAGATTTTGGATCACTAATTATTTGAACTAATTAGACATACTTTTAACTAGCTTCTCTGTCAATTCTTCTCTTACTTCCCTTATTTTTTTAAAGTGTTCGTACAAGTGTTTTGTTACGTCATTTATTTATCAGAAGCTACTCAGAATTTTATAGCGGAAGCAAAATTAACGCTTTAGCGTTTAAATATTATTTTTAAAAGTTAATTATTACTTTGTTTTGCTTACTTTGATACATCAACATTTCAAACATATGCATATGGGATATATTTGATAGGCTAATATGCTGGATAGGAAAAAGGCTGTAAACAACGTTAATGATGATAATGAAGGCCAATATGCTCATGAATCTTTGCGAAGTAGCTTTTGAAAAATTCTTAATTCAAGTATTAAATGATGTACACTTAGATTTATGTACTTTTATTTAGTAAATTCTTTCCCAATGATCGTACAAGTTGGTAGCTATGACATTACACACAACCAACTTCTTACTGTTTTAGGGAACTTAATGTTTAAAGTTGTAATAAGTTTTATGCTCTGCCACTTTATTTTTGATTACAGAAATTTGCTTTACAATGATTTTGACCACCACTTAACATAAGCAAACAATTATCTAAAACCTCATGAATGTGTTGTGAGGTTCAGCCAAGATTAAGCAAGTTTGCCTTAATAGTTGCATCGCTACAAGCTAATAGGGTATGAGTGCTATCCGGTTAGCATCTATGCTATTATATGTAAATTATATGCACCTTATGTATATTACCAAATAAGGAACTAACTTTGGCATGAACGTTTTTCAAAACGATCATCTTGAAGATCATTAAAATATTATCTTGGAAAGAAGAAATATTCGTGTTTATCATATTTTATTCATAATATAAATATCTTTTTTTAAATCATAAATTCAATATTAGAGTATTTTTAATTCAATATTGGAATATTTTTAGTCATTGGAATGTTTTAAAACTCAGAAAAAGTAGCTAATTTTTTTGTTGTTAATTCGTGTTTCACTAAATGTGTGTAATAGTTTAAAATATTTACAAAAGTTTATTACTGAAACTTACAACACTAGTAACAGAGCCGTAGTGGCTCAGGGGATAAAGTGTAATACTCCCAATGAGATGATCTTGGTTCGAATCCCAGCGGTGGCTGGTTGATACGAATTTTGCTTCCGGTACACACCGACCACAGTGCTGATGTAAAATGTCCTCAGTGGTAGACGGAGCGGTGGTTAGAATCCCTTTACGAAGCTACGTTTCGAGGTAATCCCCTAGCAAGGTTATGTTTAATCCCCTTGCATTTTCGAGGTTCTCCTCTCAACGCAAATGTGGGTTAGTTCCATCAAAAATCCTTCACGAAGGCTAATTTATCCCAATGCTTGATCTAGGAGTTTCCTTGCCTTCTGGATTAGGTTCAAAATTACAAGGCTGCTGAGTTGAATATAAATAGTCTTAAATTTGTGTCGGCTGTTTAGGAATGATCTGTAGCCAAAATATTTAAAAATGCGAAATGGAAAATTATAAATTGGGGAATAGTTATTCAGAGATTAGGAAATCAACTATTTTGTATTTATTTCACTTTTTAAAAGTAAAACAATTTTTTTTTCTTGGAGATTTTTCTTATGTCAAATATTCTAGAATTCATTTAAGAAATTGCATTTCTAAGATTCCTTTCTCGAAGTTAAAGAGCACACGCACATGGAAAAGTTATTAAATGTGTTTCTCTGGCTTTATCATCCCCATACATTTGAGCCCCCCCCCACCTCCAGGTAGAACTCTAAGTTCGAACTATGCATGATGAGTGAGGTAAGAAATTCTTATTAGGAAACTCACGAGACTTAGCGTGCAATCAGAAACACATTTTAATTAATTAAATGCGAAATAAATTATTTCTTGATTTCGAAGGAAGCTCACAAATTTTCTTATGCATTAAATTTTTTATTCGCTTTTATATAAAACATATTCGTTTGTTTCAAGACTTTAAAAGTTTTTGAATAAATTTGAATGAAATTCCGTTTGAGATTTCAAACGTTTCATTCCGTATTCATGTATAAAGAATATTTTGAATTCCACATATAAACTGGAGTTAAAAAAGAAAATAGAAGAACCTGAATTTAAATTTATTATTTTTAAAATTCAGCCTGTACCGACATTTTATTTTTTATTGCTTTGATGCTCATTAAAAAATTAATTAGTTAGATTAGTTCTGTTCTTCTATGATTATTTAAATAAAGACATGTTCGAAACGTGTCTGCGTGTAAAAAATGACTTAAATATTACTTTAATCATTTTTAATGACAATTTCACTGATTAAAATAAATTAAAGAACTTAATAAAATTCATTTCTACTTGCATTTTCTATACTTGCATTTTCTATACGCATTATAACACTTAAAATTACTTAGAGGAATTACTTAGAGGAACACTTAAAATTACTTAGAGTTTCTACAAAATCCTTTTGTTCCTTGAGAATGGGACGGACCCCCAATGAATTTTGACCTTTGTTCAGAATTGGATGTAGTTAACCTTTGCTGCAATGCAGCTTTCAAGTGAAACTTATCGGGCCTTATTCTTAGTTAGGGTATGAATCTTCAGTAAACAAATAATAAAATAATAATATGGCTAAAAAATTTTTTTACAACTGTAATGACCAATAAAGAAGCATGAAAATCAATCAGTTTTTGTGAGAAAAAAAGACATTTAACATAACTGTGATTACTATAAAGAAAATTTAATTTAAAAATACATAGTTTAGATTTTAGTTTTTGTGGATCTTGAAAAATTTTAATGTTTAACTCACTAAAGAACTGGCAGAAATTTTATTTTTAGCGCATGTCTTAAATGCTTAAAAACATGGCAAGGCTGAGTTAAAAGGATCAATTACTCCATTTAAAAATAATACATAGTGGTGGGCAAAAAATATCATGAAATTTAATAACAATTCCTCATATAGTCCTTTTTTTTAAGTTAATAATTTTTTTTTTTTTTTTTTGGTCAGACATAATGTACAATGCCACACCGAATTTCAACAAAGATACTTTAATATTAGCAATAATATGCAATAACTGTAATATTGAAAATAATGTCACGCCTGTTATTAATTGACTGGTAATATTATTGAGTTAAATAAATAGATCATTTTTTTAAATAACAAAAATCATAATTTATTCAACTATACATGGCAAAGTAAGAATTCAAGCATGTTTAAGTATGAAACAATTAAAAATATACGATAAACCTAGTAATGTAAAGTCTAGAAATATGGTCTGTGCATGAAAAACACCAATACTAAAAAAAATGGTAGCAGTAAATATTTGCTTATACCGAAAGGATATTTCTATCTGTAGCTCACTTCTTAAGCTTTAAAAAGCACTGCGATTTATTTCTTTATTTATCGTTAANATTAATCATTTTATGTTATTTATTTACCTAAATTTTATTCTCTAATTATTATTCTAAACAAAACGCTCTTTCTCACACTTTAATACTCACATCCTGTATTTCAATCAATTTTTTGCTTTAAATCATGTATTAGTTCGTAATTTTGATTTTTCCCTTTTATTGAACTGCGAAAGATTTTTTCCCTTGACCTATTTAATAGATGAATTGTAATTATTCAGATTTCCCTTATTCCCTAAGACGAAACATATTACGGATTTATTTTGCAAGATTTTCCGAATTTTTATCCGGGAGCACTTCGGTTTGTGTGTCGCTTCGTTATTCATTCTCTAAATATGAATGTTAAAAGAAATTAGTCCCCCCTAAATAGTACTTTTTTTCTCTTTCTCTTTTAATTTCTTACTTACTTCTTTATTTTATTTTTATTTTAGAATATACGTATCCTTTTATAGTTGTAACTTCTATGCCTAAGCATGTGTAATTTGAAGGGTGATAACATTAACATAAACAAAACAATTAAATTGCTAAATTTGATGCCAAATCTATTGCCGAAAATAAATTGCCCAACGATAGGTACAATCTTCTAATTTTGATAGGGGAAAAATATATTCAATTTAATTTCGATTATTATGAATTAATTATTATATGATAAATGAACGCCAATTATTGTTTTCTTTTAATCTTATTAAGAAGAACATCATTAAAGCGAAACTCCAAACAACGTTCACCGAGTTGATATTTAGATTTAAATCGAAGCTGCAATGTTTTCCTTTGTAAACAGCAGTTGTTCCAACCAGTTTCCTATTTGAATATCGAAGTTGCCAACCTTCACCAGCAAAATTC